CAGTAGCGTCTCTGCAGGTTTTCGAAAGGCAAACCCTTGGCCCCCTTCCTTTTTGTTTATCTTCACCACCAGTGTTCCCACTTTCTCTCTCGCTTTATATATGCAATTCCCCCCACCCCCCAACGCCCCACGCCCATCAAAGCAAAATCTAAGACTATTCGCACATGATCTGGGGGTAGGTTTAGGATCAACTGGTGTCACAAGAAGCAGAGACACCTAGAGAAGATCTGGAGAAGGCTGGGGAGAAGTCTCAGAAGACTCTCTGGGTCTAAAAGGCCCCACCCCAAGGGGCGCCAGCTACCCGGGCGATTCTGGGAGAGCACCTGTTCTATCATAATAGAAGGCAAGAACTTCCTGAAGGTGCCTCAGCAGCCTCCTCTTTAGGAAGTTAAGTCCTAATGTGACTATGATGCTATCTGCATGGACCTGATTACTCCAACAAACTTCTCGATCCAGTAAACTTGACGTGAAAGAAAGACAGGAGGTGCCGGATGAAAGGTAGCATCAAAGCTTCCCGACAGGATCCGTGTGGGGAGAATTCACCTGTCTCTTCCTGGGATGCAGATAAAGGAAGAGACCAGAGCCGAGTGCCTGGGAGACAGCTGGGAGAGCCCTGGCTGCCCCAGAGGCAGAAAGGTGAAGAAGCACCATGTGTCTGCAGATCTGCTATCATTCTGGGAGTTGGTAATTGCCACAAAAGAGGAGGGAACAAGAGAGAAGGGAAAGTCTATACTGTCAACTCCCACAGGGAAGTAACCATGTTTCCCTCTGCTCGCTCAGCAATGCTTGGCTCCCGGTGGCTTCTCAATAAAGTAACATGAATGAAGAAATGAGAAGGGAATGACAGATCCACCCACTCACCGCAGGCAGCAGCACCACCAAAGGGAAGCAATAATAATGTGAGGATTGTGGGAGAATAATCTGGAAATTAAATCAGCATTTTAGAGGACAGACAATATTTGGATAACATCCCATCTTGGCTACAATACACTAAAAGCAATCGCCAGGAAGTTACGAGTTTAATGACAGGGAGAGAATAGAAACACTTGGGCTCTGCCCCAACGATCAGCCCCTGATCTGTGCTGTGACTTCACGTTCACATCTTCCCTATCCTCCACGTAGACTATAGTTGGGTGACTTAGTCCAGGGTTCTGGGCAAGGTCCGAGAGCCCTGCCCAAGCATTGGGCTGGCCACCTCATCCTGCAGGTGAGAAAACTAAGGCCGAGAGAGGTTTGAGGCCACGGCCAGTGGCAGAGCTGGTTCTGGAAGCCAGATCTCCTAATGCAGAGGCCTGTGCTTTCTTTGTTTTACTAAGGTATTCACTTACTTATGTATCCAACCACACCCAATCTGCTGAAAGAGAGCCATGTGGAATTACCTGGCTTCACATATGGGTCCCTCTCCAAGAAAACAAACTTCTAGGTGGGCAGGAATCTGGTCTTACTGAATAGTAGCCATTATAATGATAGCAGCTAACATTTATGCTGTGCTTACCACATGCCAGGCATGTACAGAGTGCTTTACCTGTGTGAGCCCTACTCCTTCCAATGACCTATTGAGGCACGTTCTCTGCTGATCCACATTCTACTAGTGAGTACATGGAGGCAGAGATGTCACCCTGCTCACAGGTGGTGGGGTCACATTGGAACCCAGAGCCAGGGGACACACTAACTGGAGAACCAGCTGACCAGTCCTTTCTTTTCCCAGGAAGAGATGCTCGTGTTGCTGTGGAGACCTCCGCTACCCCATCGGCGGGCAGAGCTTTGAAGACGGTGTGCGAGGGCGCCCGTCCCAGCTCTGCCCCACCTCAGTTTCCTCTTCTAGGAAACACACCCGAAGACCGCTGCCCGTCTATTGTTGGGAGTCTCAAATGCACCAAGCTATGTCATGGCCCCGAAAAGCCGCACACTGGCAACAAACACCTGGCGTGACCGGTCGTGTTGTTACTTCTGTGCACGTCAAACCTCCCTTGCTAAACTGCGCACCCGTGGCGGAAGGCCAGTGGGTTATAGATTCAGACTCTGGTATCAGATGGAATCAGGTTCAAATTCCAGATCTTCTGTTTAAGCGGCAAGTTCTCTAAACCCTGCAAGCTTCAGTGCCCTTGCTCCATGTGTGCGCGGTGAGGGTTAGACTTGATACATGCAGCACGCGGAGCACAGGGCTTGTCAGCTGTGGTTAGCTCCAGGCAGTCACCGGGGCAGGGACCAGCAGGCATGAATCTGGCAGGCTTCCAGGAGCCCTGTGCATGCAGCACAGCCAGCAGCACAGCCAGCAGCACACATCCAGCTGATGATCACAGCTGATCCGGCAGAGTTAGGATGGTCAACACACAGCATGGAAGCAGCACAGACTCAGGAGCCCCCAGAATTAAATTTCCTTCTCAGCCCTGTCCTACTTAGCTGTGTATCTGCTGCCATGTGAACTCCCCCTCCAACCGCTCTGTTCCTTAGAGCCAGTGAGTTGGACCCAGTGGTTTCTAAGGTGCCACTGAGACTTCAAGTATTATCACCTTGACTCAAACAAGCAGCTTGGCCAAACTCATCCGCGCAGCCTGGAGGGCCAGACGGGGGACCAGAGGGGCTACCCCGGGGACCACACCTCCCCGTGAACTGTACCTCATGCCCCCGTAGCCACTCCAGCTGAAGAACAACTAAGCGTAGACACAAGCAGGCAGAACAGACAAAGCAGACACAGGGAAGAAAGGCATGTATTTGACCTGGCAACTTGTTTTAGGCCTTGGTAGGCCAAGCCGAGTTCTCCATCTTCATTCAAATAGCCCCAATCCTCAGTCTTGCTAGAAATAAAGTACGAAACAAACAAACAAACAAACAAACAAAAAAAACAGGGCATCCTGTGTAGAGGGAAGAGACAGGCAGGCAGAGAACGCAGGGAAGTGAGGTGGTCCTGGCCTGGGTTTGGAAACGAGAGGAGGGAAGGCTCGGGAGGCCCCGGCTCCGCTCCTTCCTCTCCTGCCACCAGCACCTGGGTGCCTGCAAACAGCGTCTTTCCTCCAAGTCTCCCTGTGCCAGTTACTGCCACGCGCTCGCATGTGGGACTCCCTCATCATCGCCGGCCAGAAAACATGTGGTCGCAGAGAGAGCAAAGTTGGCACCGGTTTGGGTGGTCCTGTGAGCAGCAGCAGCCCGGGCTGGCTCGCGCCTTTACGCGTTCTCGCACGGCGTCCCTCCCGCCTACCTGGTTCTTTGGGAAAGGAAAGGGAGAACCAGGAGAGATGCAAACAGGCAGGGAGGAGAGGACCCTTGCGCTGTGGGACCTGCAGACACTGAGCAGGCACACACTGTGCAGGGCTGCGAGGTGGCCTCCCGGACACTGTGTGCCGCAGAGCATCACCTGGGGATGTCTGGGCCATCGAGGATAAGGAAAGAGCCTACAAATTGTGCCTGCTCTTCAACGGGCATCTCTTCTCTATCACATCTTAAGGGCACGAAAGTATTAACTCATCTCAACTCCAGCCCTTGCTGCAATCTTGCAAAAAAAACAGCTAATAAAAACTTTGTCCCTTCGACCTTAGAGCTGGGGTGCGTGAGTCCTATTTACTCCACTTGGACAGAAGGTCAGATACCTTCCATTTGGAAAGTCTTTTGTCTTCTCCAGTTGTCTAGTCAGCCTGATGCCAGCAGGGCAGCTCCCGGAAGCTAGGCACATGCCACACACCTCTGCCCATGTACCTCCCCACCTCGCACGGCCCTGGGCACACAGGAGACATGCAAAAGCCAGGGGGATTGGGTGGTGAGTGGCAGGCAGACCCTGCCAGGATTCAGCTCCTCCCTCCCTGCTTCTGTGGCCTCTGCTCCTGGGGGACTTCCTGCTGGTTGGGTCCCAGCTTTCCTGGCAGGAACCTTGGCATAGGAGCTGCGGCCATACTGCCTGCTATCAAGACAAGTGACCCTGTCCTAACTACTGGAGAAAAACCACCATTCAGCCTGTCAGGTTGTGTGTGAGGCCCAGGGGGTGGAGCCACCATTATCACCCCCCACCCCACCCTGTCCTTCCAGCCCCAGCTCAGCCTTGCTAGGAAAGGCCCCAGCCGCAGGGCTTGCTCACATGGGCTGCTTGCTTCTTGGGCAAAGCTGCTCACATCAGCACCAGGCCCTACCTCTGCCAACTCTGACGGGATGAGTGGAGGGAGACAGCAGTGAGGCTACTTCTGGTGACTCCTCTCTGGCTGCTGTTCCCTGGGTCTACTGCTGTCACAGCTCTCCCTCCAGCAGGGCAGAGGGGGGATTGCTGCAAACACGTTTATCCTGGCATCTCTCCTATTTAGGCCTCCTGCCCACAAAGGTCCAGAGCCCTCGCCCAGGCCTGGCCTCCCCAGACACTGCCTCTAGCTGCAGGCTTTGGCTGTCCCTTCCATTCATCCCAGCAAACCCAGAAATGACCTGGGCTGTGTTAAGGGGAGCTGATGGCTTAGCACCTTTCCTTTCTCAGGTGTCACCACTCACGTTTAGGGCCACTGAGAAGCTAGTGCTTTAACCCAAAGGAGCTGTTCACTAGGAGTTCGAGGCTCAGCTGCAGTCCTTCTTGGGTAGGACCTGGGAGGTGACTGCATCACTGGGGCAGTCACTCCATCTTGTCTTCCACACATGGGGGGGTAGGACCTGGGAGGTGACTGCATCACATGGGAGCCGTCACTCCATCTTGTCTTCCACACATGGGGGCACACCAGGATGGAGATTACTTGCCTGACACTGACACTCGAGCTGGAACCCAGGTGGGGTTCTGCCCCCGGTCTAAAGCCTTGCACTGGCTGCCCCCTCCCGCCGCCCCACCTCCCCCAAACCCAAGGAGGGGCCGCCGGGTCTTACAGGGTCTCCGAACTCCTGCAGTTCCCATGACACGCTGGTGCTAACGCTCACTCTCCAGGGAGGTGCATGTGTGTCGCTGGGCTACACAGTGAGGAAGTTAGCTTCAGTGCCCACATTGCCAGCCTCTGGGAGACCCACAGAGCTCTTAATTCTATGACATGCCAGGCATTATGCACAAAGAATATTGTGCGGCCCAGCCACCCCACAGCGTTCAGGAATCCAGGCACACGAGTAAATTAAAAACCAGTCAACCAGCTCCAGGTCCATCCTTTGTTCCCAGATGAAAGAGAAGCAAATCAGCACAGGAGTTTCTCCCCGCATCCCCCACTCACACCATGCGGGGGGAAAAGGCCTGGGAGGGCGCGCCACCTGGTGGTGTGAGAAGGAAAACCCCAAATAGCTCACAGGAATTTAATAATAAGTGCTTGATGTCAACTAATAAAATCAACAAATATTCATGGAAAATCTCTTGCGTATCTATCACCGGTGCTGAGCCCTATTCCCAAAGAGGCCGCAGACACACACAGAAATAAGCAGCAGGTCGAATCTCCGACTGCAGGAGGCAGCAAGACAGCGCTGAGGAAACTGGAGAGTCAGGTGTCCGGACGGCAAACTCCCAGGTCTGCTGCTAACGAGCCGGCGGCCGGGGCTAACCACCTACACACCCCGGGCCTGTGTCCTCACGCGTGAAGTGGAGGTGCCTGGCTGGATGATCTGAGAGGCTTCTTCTAGAACTTTAGCTACATAACCTTATTAACCGTAACGGTCATGTACCAGAAGAGGCCCAGGACAGCATTTACTTTCCCTCTGTGGAGATGGAAAATCAGGGCCCAGCAACCATCCCTCTGCCCAGCTTAAGGACCTGCCTCCCTGTGGACAGAACCAGCAAAGGTTCCTGCCAGCTGGGAGGCGGTCCGTTTCCTGTCTCTAAAACGGCCACTCTGTGCTCCATGAATGTGCCCTTATTTCCTTAGTTCACACCCAGACTTTCTACCCAACTGCCCAGATTTCTCAGGATCTCTGAGAAATGGGATGTGGCAACCCCAACACCATGAATGTGAGAGAAACATTTGAAATGACAGGTGGTGAATTATTCGTGGATAAATATGGTCATGCCACTGAAAGAGGCAGAAATTATGCTGATGGCTCAAACTAACAGGATTTGGGGGGAAGCGTAAGGGAAGAATCACCTTCTAGAAGAAAGCTGAGCGTTTCTAGCCAGGAGCAGGTGAAGGGAGGACCTGTGAACAAATCTGAGCAGAATCAGCACACTGCTCTGCCCCACCTTCCATTCTGAGCAAGACATCCTGCAGCAGTTGGGGCACTTGGCCATCAACTCCAAGCCAGTCCTAGGGCAGCTAGCTGCACACACCCCTTCCGGATAAGCCCGGGTGTTCCCATGAGAATCTAATGCCTGCTGATCTGAGGTGGAGCTGAGGCGGTGATGCTCGTGCTGGGGAGCAGCTGCAAATACAGATGAAGCTTCGCTCACTTGCCCGCCACTCATTTCCTGCTGTGCGGCCCGGATCCTAATAGGCCACGGACCGGTACTAGTCTGCGGTCTAGGGGTTGGGGACCCTTGCATTAGGGGGTGAGTAATCACCCCCAAGCTCGGGGGGCAACGGCAAAGCTAATCTTTGTGCCAAGGACTTCCTGTTGCTTCCTGGGACCTGCTGGGTGGAGGGCCTGCAGGAGGTTCCCAGGGAGCTGAGGAAGGGACCAGTAATGCTAAGTCTCGCTTTGGAGCTGTGTGGACTTGGCAAGTCCTGGGTGGAAAGAGCCAGTGGCCAAAGGAACACACTCCTCCTGGAGCCTGACCTGAGCCCTGGTCACACTCCCGCCCCTACCTAACTCTGCGGCTTTGACTGCATGCCCAGAGTAAGGCCAGCCTGAGAGCACCGGGAACCGCTGCTCTTCGATCCCATTTCCCCACCCCTCTCCCACACGCACCATGATGGACACGGCTCCAGACAGCCCTGAGAAGACACTCTCCAAACACCCACCTGCTGGCAGCAGCCTATCTCTGGGGAAAGGACCAGCCCTCTCTTTATTTAAACTATCATCTATAAAATGATAATAACGATGCTAGCTTCTCTTAGTTCCCAAGACGGGAAATGAGAGAGCTTTTTGGAAGCTGAAGTGCTACACATGTTTCTGCAGCTAGTCCCAGAACCATCGCGAACCACAGGCCCTCAAGACTGGCTTCTCTTTCCCCACTTGAAAACAACAGAAAAGACAAAGACACATTTGTAAAGACTGAAACAGAACTCTATAAACTTAAGAGTTCTCGAGTGAAAAAAGCTTTGAACTTGAGAACCATGGGCTCTGAGGCTGCGACTGGACATGGGGAAGTGTTCCAAATCCCTCCAGAAAGCTAAGCGAAGCTCGGCGTATGTAAGTTCTTCACACCTTCGCACGTGTGATACAATTTATACTTAAGCCAGGAAAACAGTAGGAGAGGAAAAGTAGCTGTCACCGGGGCAGCCCTTGTTCTGACAGGCTGCCCTGGCCAGTGGGGCTCCAGGAATCACAGTCCATGTCCTGCTGCCTGGCCAGCCTGCCCAGGGCTGTCCTCCCTCACTGCTGGGATTCACCAACTTGGAAGAGAGGCAAACCTGTGAGTGCTGCTTCCACACTTCCAGGCACTGAGGAGCAGGTTCTTCCAGAGGCCCCTCCCCTCCAGGGGGCAGCGGCTTTCTGTACTTAACTGGTTTCAAAGGCTCTTAGTTCCCTATTACAGCCTGGGCTTGCTGGGAATGGAATTATTTTAAGATATCAGAGAAGCTATTTTTATTTTATCACCATCATTACTGCTGCAAAGGAAGACAAATCCAGGGCATTAAGCAGCCCCTGGAAAACCTATACTTGGGACTGGATCCCTGACAGCCATCTGGATGAAGAAAGAGAGAGCTGATAACAGTGATGGCTCTGAAGATCAGAAAGATAAGCACACTAGCTTGTCAAGACCAACCATGCCTATTTCCTTCTTTCTTTTTATAAACTTTAAATATCACCTGTGCTCTTTTTTCTTATTTGTCTTGTTTCTTATCTTCACCCAAGGCAATTTAAAATGACTTGACTCTAGTTTTAGCACTGTGAGATTCGCCTTCATTTTCTTCTCTCCGTCCTCTAGGGGAAAGAATTACATCTCTGTTGAAATAAACTGAGCTTCCACCTAGGGGCTTCTGATACTGACAGGGGGCGGGAGGCAGCCCGGCCTGCAAGCCAGGCCTTCTGGATTCTACCTTGACTCAGTTACAGGCCAGCTGTGGGCCTGAGCAGTTCAACCCTTCTGGGCCTCAGTTTCCAACCGCAGAAAGAGGGGCTACATTAGAAGATCCGGAAATCAGAGCACTAAGTCTTCTTCGGTGATGCTGTGACATGCCCTCAAATAACTTCACTCGCGCTCCCGGTGCCACCTACCGAGGTCTTCTGGAAGTGCTTGCTGTTTTCAGAAATTTTAAATGCTTAGTGATGGCTCAACATTCAATGAGTTGAGATTACAAGAGAAAGGTAACCAGAGAAAAGGCCAGCTCCATTTTCCCCCGTGCCCACAGGGGCACAAGGAGGCAAAAATAATAATAGCAGCGATAGTAACACTAACATTTTTTTTTTTTTTGCGTGCTTATCATGTGCAGGCACTGTTGTAAGGGCTTTATGCAAACTCGCTCATCTAATCTCACGCCGTATGAGGTACGCTGTTATGACCGTCCCCAATTCACAGCTGAGGAAACTGAGGTACTGAATGGTTAAGAAGTAGTTACTAAATAGTTGGTGACAGGCGGGACTCCAGCGTGCACATTCTCAAGTCCTCTGCCACACTACCTTGGGGTCTCTGCTCTGTCCTGCATCCCGGGAGGCCTGCTGCCTCCTCGGACAGTCACTCTTTTGCCTTAACCCTGGGTAGCTCATCGTTGAGGAGGGACCAGTGGTGGTTAGTTAAATCCAGGGCAACCTCATTCTAGCCGATATGGTTCATGGTCAAATTCTCCCATCCAATCTCTGCAGTGCCTAGCTTGGGTTCCCTCTGAAGGTAACGGGGTCGCCACTGAGTAATGCCCCGCAGCTGGGTTGGGTAAAGATGGCATCGCACTACACAGCTGGAACAGACCCTTCTTCCTGTTTAGTTGGGCTACTTTGTGCCAACCTCCTTCGCAATGAGGAACGCCACTCTTGGCCAGCCCTTCCCTTTCCTTGGCCTCCTGTCAAACCTCCCCGTGAAGCTCCCTTTCTGAATGCTTCTCAGAGGGACTGGGTTCCGGATGCTGCACAGGTGTTACTGGAGTCTTGCCGAAGCTAACAGCAGGCTCCTAAGGACACGGGACTCACTGTTCCTTCTCATTTGACTCCTATAGCAGATAAGGCCCTGATGCTGAGTGCGTGGCCAGTGCCCGAGGGGTGGCCTTCACAGATTAGGTTGGGCAGGGCCCCTTTGCCAGCATCTCCTCCAGATATAGTTACCACAAGGTAGGACTTACCTGTTTGTCTGGCAGACTCCATGATAGGCCTCGATGGCATCTTCCTGATCTACGTGCTTTTCACTGTTAGGCCAACTTGTTCTGGCATTAATATTTGGCTCCTGGAAGGTCCAAGGTTGAAAAAATAAATAACTCTGGTTATACAAACAATAGCCACAAAATGACTTCATATATAGACAGAGGTATAACAACGATCCTTAGAGAAAAGACAAAGGCCCAGGACATGCCCAGATAATAGCAGTTAAACTCAGGCAGGAATGTGGCCTTTTAAAGGTCGCTCTGGAAGAGTCACAGAATGACAAGGTCTGGCTGTGACAGGCACTGAGTGTGGAGGAATGGGGATAAGATGGCAATGACCGCGTCCCCAGAGGAGAAAGCACCCCAAATCCAGTGGATGTGACTAAAATCTGTCTCAGTTTTGAATCCTCCACACTCATTCCTGCCTACTAGGATGCCCCCCACCCCGCCACGCTGCTACCGGGGCCACGCCCAGGAGTGACCCAGGTGGCCCCCAGCCCCTCGCTCTCGCTCCACAACCTGCCCCAGAGGGTGCGAACATTAGGAACAAATGCTAAGGTGGACGTGCTGCCCTGGGAAGGCTTTCTCCACCTCAGAAACGAAGCAAATAGCAAGGGGCAAGGCATGAGGTGCAAAACCAGAACGAGGGGGCTGCTCGGGTCGTGGCCCTCGTCTCTAACTCTGTGCCTTCTTCCTTTCGAACATATTCATATTGAATAATTTCAGAAGATTCTAGAAGCGTCCAGTAAAGTCTCCCATGAAAGGCCGTGCTGAAGAGGGCAGCAAGGACGTTGCTCTCCCTTTAGGGGAGACCTGGTGCAAAAGACTCTGCTCTTTTAGGTTTAACACCTTGTTTTTCTTATGTAAAGATACAGAAGAAAAATAACACCAAATCGATTACTTAGCGCCAGCCCCCCGACCCCGACGGGCCCGACAACGGCTGCCATCTTGTTACCGTGCTCTTGGCAGCAAGTCGGCGCTGGTCGGCGCTGACAATCTGAGTCCTAAGGATGAGCACCTCCTCCTTGCGAACCTCGAGCTCCTCGTTGGCCAGCCTGAGCTGGTTCAGAAGGAGGTTGTAGCTGTCTGGGGAGCTGTGGGTAGAGTTGTTCTGGGCGGCCTGGTCCGCCACGGCTTTCCTCAGCTCGTTCAGGTCATTCTTCAGCTTCTTGTTCTCCGACTCCAGCTCTTGCCTCTGGAAGACAGCCCGAGGGGCACACTCCATCCATTATTGCCCGGATCCAGGGTACTTGCCCCATGCGGGCCTCCTCCTCCTCCACCTCCCTCCTCCTGGGAAGCTAAGAGCAACCTTCCCACCGTAACAATGCAACTCAGGGCGAAAGTTCAGATGGCATCAGCGAGTAGCCGAAGCTGGGGCCTAGATTTGAACCCACCACTCTAAGTTATCGGTGTGAGGTATCTGACATGATGCCTCTATGATAGCATTCTCCAAAGTGATTCAATAGCATGTTCTAAGTGTGCCTGGCTAATGAAGCCCTTCCTTGTGGAAATGCCATGTTAATTTTAAACCACGTGCTTTTAACACAGGACTTCCTAGAACCTTCACACATTAATGTACTTTGTGACTTTCCAAGAGAGGTTATGAGATGCAGAAGTTCCTAAACTTATTTATTTAGCAAGCCCACTCCCCGCTTCCTGCTTCCCAAAGAGCATCACATGACTTAATAATTTAGAGAATACACCAAGGATGCCCTTTTGTTCTTTTGGTCACATAGAAAGCCACCAACTATCAATGACAGTGTAGGAAAAACTACTTGTATTCAGAGTCATGAGTGCCATTGAAATTCAATTTTAGAAGATATTTAACTTTTTCTGGATAAAATAACTGTTTGAGATGAATTCCGAACATTTAAAGTCTGATGATCACACGTATATTGCTGGTAGGGCCCTGGAATACATGAGATTCAAAATTTCCCAAAGAAACTCCAAAATGTGGATAAGTAGGCATGAGTTGCACATTTATTACAGAGCCGTAGAGACATAAAACTAGGAGCCATTGGGCATAACTCTTATTTTCCAAATGAGGATGCTGAGGATGGAGCACAGGAGGCCCAGAGTGTTCTGCAGAGGCCACGCCAAGACTAAGAGCCTGGACTCCCATCTCACAGCCCCACCACACACTTCAGGCCTCCTCGACTGCTCTGCCAGGTGGGACCAGCCCCAGGACACTTCCACCCAATCCCGCCCCCACGGGCGGCATGCCTAAGCCTTGAACCCAGTACCCAAATAGCGTGCTTCTGCCCGAGAGCTGGGGTTTCTTTATACGTTATAGGAGGATCAGGGGGAAATTCTGGTAGCGGGATCCAGAGTTAAGCAAAAATCATTACTCATCAAGGAGTCCTCCCCTGTAGCCTCATCTTACTCATGCACTGCGGGCAGGTTTTTCAAACTCAATGTGGTCAGGATCAGGTTGGAAAAAATAGCCACGCAGCCAGGTGTGCAGTCTCATCATCTGCTTAGATCTTTGTCTTCCTGCTCAGGAAGCATCTACACTTTTCGACAGCAGCGTACACTTCCCACCCTTTCATTCTCTTCTAAAGCATTCAGCCAGACACGCAGAGAAGGGGCCCACTAACTACAGGTTGACTGGATTTTGCCTAAAAGCCCAATTTCCATTATTTCTCTGAAGGTCTGGGGCCATGAAGTGAGAAGCATCCCAGCCAGTCTCCCTGACATCAGTCCTCCCTTCAAATCAGAGGTCCCCAGGCCAGTGTCTGCGACAAGGCCCGCGGGTTAAGTCCGGTTTCGCTACGGACAACGACGGGAAAGCCAGGTCCCAGAACTCAGAATCCTGGCCTGTCCACAGAAGCAGAGAGGGACAGTTACAGAGCTGTGAGATCTCTGGACAAATATTTTCTGGGCCCCCTGCGTCAGGCCCCGTGCCGGACAGTGAAGATGTGGCCTGTGGGAACGGGGTGGCACCTTCCTCACAAGGTCGCTGGATGGAGGTGTTGATTTTAACACTCAAGTCCTGAGGCAGCACTTCCCAGAGAGACGAGAGCTGCGGTTCTCAGAGGTGATGGGCAATGGAGTCCCACAGGGGCATGTGAAAACAGATCGCTGGGCCCCAGCCCAGAGCTTCAGATTCGGGGATCTTGGCTGAAGCCCGAGAATGTGCATTTCTAGCATGTTCCCAATGATGCTGGTCCCAGGACAGCCCTTAAAGAATGGCTGGGCTAGACAGGCTTACAGTTCTAAACGTGGGTGGGGCTGATGCCTCCAGAGCCTTACCAGCTCCTTCTCCTCCCCTGGGGCTCAGCCTTTGGAGAATGGCAGAAAGCACAACACCACAGGGGTTTATCATGTCCAGAGACTCTCTGCCCCCGGAGAGTTTTCGATCTTTTAAATATCCCATGCAGAAAATAAGTCTAATCAATGACTCAAGAAGGAAACCCCTATAAAGCACCCCCTTCTTACACCATCAGTGTGGCCCCCGCTTTTCAGAAAGGCTTGGGCGTGATTCAGGGCTGTGTTCCCCTGGGCAACACAGCTGTTCTGAGTTATGTGTCGTCCTATAAGTGGGACCAGAGTGACTGACCCTGGCCAATGGGGTACATTCCCAATGAGAGACTCTGTGAGAACAGGGGAGTGGGAGCGCCCTAATGCCCCGTTCCTGGTCTGTGCCCTCGCACCAGAAGCCACCTTGTCACTGCGCCATCACTGGATGCACTGGGAGATCCTGGCCTTACATCTCTCCATGCAAGTCTTGATTATTTTCTTCAAAGTGGTTTTATTCCACTGGCCACATTTCTACTGAAACTATCAGGTAGGTAAGATATACGTGACATAATAAGAAATTTGCATTTGGTCTCTGGCCCCAGTTCCTGGCACGGTTTCCAAAACTCTTTTGTAACTTCCTGGGTGAGCCGGGTGCTAGAACATCGTTTGTTATGACATGTGGTCTTAGTCCCAGGTTCCCAGCACAGAGCTTCTGATGCTCTCAGAATTTCCGGTGTGAGGGATGAAAGAAGCATCTCCTGCTATTCAAAATAAGCTTCTTGCCACCACGCCTGAGTGTGTGAATGAGGTGACTCTTGGAAGAGGGGGGCTGGCTGCAGGAGGGACCAGGCTCATGATCAAAAGGCTGGAGCTTTCAGCCCTGGCACCAGCTCCAGGAAGGGGAGGGCCTGGAAACTGAGTTAAACGCCTGGGTAACGATTTAATCAATCACGCCTATGCAATGAAACCGCCATAAAAACCTAAATGACAGGGTTTAGAGTTTCGGGCTGGTGAACTCATCACGATGCTGGGAGAGCGATGTGCCTTGAGGGCCCGGAACCTACACATCCCTTCCCTCACACCTCATCCTATGCATCTCCTCCACTCTGCTGTTCAACTTGTATCCTTCATAATAAACCATTAATAGTTGGTAAAGGGCTTTCTTGAGTTCTGTGAGCTGTTCTCACAAATTATTGAACCAGAGGAGGGCATGGTGGGAACCCCTGACTTGTGGCCAAGTTGGACAGAAGCATGGGTAGCCTGTGATTGGCATCTGAAGTGAGGGCAGCCCTGTGGGACTGAGCTCCTCACCAGTGGATCTGTGCTAACTCCAGGTAGTCTGTTCCAGACATGAGTGGGGCTGTAGGACATCCAGCTGGTGTCCATGGAGAACTGAAGAATTGCTTCTGGAAAACCCCCACATTCTGTATCAGAGGTATTGTGGACAGAGGGAATGGTTTCCTATTAACATATATTAAATAGTTCCTTGCAGTAAACACAGATTTTCCTTCATTTCGAAGATGAAGAAACTAAAGTGTTGGAAGAGGAAATTGTGTGCTTGTGGCTCTACCTATTAACAGACCCGAGCTTACGACCACATTGCCTGACGCCCAGCTTTGTCATCCACCCTCCACAGGGCGAGAGTTCAAGAATCTCACCTTCAGACTATTGTAGGCTAGATCTGCGTCCTGGTCCAAATCTGTGTCACTCTTCAGTTGTTCCACCTGCATGGAAAAAGAGACGGAAAGGTGAACATGGACTACAAAGCAGATGTTCCACAAAAGTATTTCCAACCATGATGAAAATATGCTGCTTTTGCCCGTGCACAAATGCACGTCCTTCCCACCTTCAAAATGTAGCTCACTACCTCAGGCTGCAGTGAAGCTCTCCGTAAACATCTCCCTCCTGCCCCCCTCATCCCCTCCATAACTTTATTCGCATGCTCCTCACAGGCACCTATGGGTTGAATACGTATAACAGTGTGTCAGGGGTTGAATTAATTAAGTTCTCCCAAAAGATATGATGACATCCTAATCCATGGTACTTGTGACTATAACCTAATTTGGAAAGAGGGTCTTCGCAGATGTAACCCAGTTAAGATCCGGTCGTTAAGGTGGGCCTGATCCACTATGACTGTCCTTATGTGAAGAGAAGAAGGACGCACGGGGAAGGTGGCCATGAGGTGGAGACGGAGTTATGCAGCTGCCCAGGGAATGCCATGGATTATGAGTGACACCGGGAGCTCGGAGAGAGGCATGGAGCAGACTGTCCCCCAAAACCTATAGAGAATGAGGCCCTGCTGACACCTTAATTCCTGACTTCTGGCCTCCGGAACGATGAGAGAATAAATTTCTGTTATTTTAAGCCATCCACTTTGTGGTACTTTGTTTTGGCAGCCCTAGGAAACTATGTGACTCACGAACTTATTAAGGAGATTAAATAATATATAATAATTATGTATTTATTAATGAGGTTAATGAGTTTTTAGGTATTTGGGGGATGTATGTGTACCTATGTGTATCCTGCTTTCTCAACTAAATAACTCTAAGCCTCCTGTGGAGAAGCCCGCTTCCTCCATGTCACCCTACAGCAGTGTGACAGCTGGTCCCCGCTGATGCTCAGTAAATTCTGTCTGGAGGACCTGGGTGGCAATGGCTGGAATACCAGCCCATTAGGACTCAGCCGAGTTGGTGATTCCTGTCATTATTTGGCAGTTATTCACCTTGTCCAATGTGAAGGGACAGAAACACCTTCATAAATGGTGAACTGCTTGGGTGATTTCAAATAATGGGTGATAGTCCCTGAATAAAGATGGGTTTTGGGAGCTAAAACCTGACAATACCTAATGAGCAGCAGTGGTAGCAACCTTGAATTCAAGGCCAGGCCATGACCAGCTGGATGGATTGTGCCCCAGGCTTAGAGAATGGGACCAGGTCAGAGCACCTCTGGTAGCTCCCCCCATATCAAGGACGGTTACACTGAATGCACTGTTTCCAGCCCTGTGACCTGGGAAGAGAACTCTCCAAGGCACCAGACTCTGCTCCGCCTGCCACCATCAGCGGTGGGAGAACTGTGTGAACCTGCTGGTCTAGGGAGAGGCCTGTGCCTGCCATATGACCACAGACAACTGAGTACTCAGGCTCCTGGCAAACAGAGATTACTGACTCAAATTCAGGTTACTGTGAGAATGAAGATGTGCTGCTGGCAGTCATGTTTCTAAGTGGGTGGACTTAGAGTCACCCTGGCCAAGGCAACTTCGCCAGTGGATGGGAAGTCAAACACATGGACAGCCTGGCTGGCTGTCGCAGACGCCCCATCCTCGTGGTGGGCTTCGTCACTCCCTCACCGATGGTACATCCTACAGACTTCCTATTGTTCCTTATGCAGAGCCTGGCCTCTTCCTACAGCTGAGATACTGGATCATCTCGCTCCAGAATAAAGACCCAAGTGGCTCAGGATTCTTCCTGGGACCAAGGGCAGTTCCAGCAAAATGACCTCTGAAAGTTTGGTTTCAGGGCGCCACAGAGGGATGCCATCATCTCCCCTGTCCGACCCTACCCTGCTTGCTCAACTCTCTTGGAAGCAAAGTCATTCTCCTTAAATAGAGAATGACCTTGATGCATGTTAGAAGGCTACAGGCCGAGCCTACAGTTTTCTCTCTTGCTCAGTGATTATTTTTCAAGCAAAGAGATACTTTTTAAAGTTTGGTATTGTGATAAGCAAAAGACCTAAAGCCGTCTTCCAAAATTATTTGGCATGTGTGTGGTGAGGATCGTGGGAGTGACTCTTTAGGGGCAGCTGGGTGGGCCGGGAACTCTCATGTCAGGCACCGTCTGACATCGTCTACACAGCTTTCCATGTATGTGATTTGTGCTCACCTGTCAGGGTAGCTTCTCTTCAAATTGAATGAGTCATTTATAAACCTAATCCTTTCACTTTCCATTCTGAGTCCAACCCACCTGAGAGATTTCAATCCATCAGCAAGATTTACCTCCCCACTTACTGCTCAGGGAAAAAAAAACCCATGCATTTACTAGCAACATAGATCAGCATCTGCAACACATTTGATTGGCAAGGGAAGCTGGGAGTTACAAAAGGAGACAGTGTGCAAAGGTGGGAGCAGGGGAAAGACAGAGGATGCGGAGAGGGGTTTGGACCCCACAATTGGCAACTCAGGCCTGAGAACAGATCAAAGGCCTTTGACAAACCCACTGTGAAGTCAGCTAATGATATGACCCAGGTCAGAATCGGCCTTGAATCCCATGAGAAGTGGTCCTTATCCCTCCCAAGAAATAGAAATGGCTCTTACCTCCTCATCGCCGCTGCCTGCAATGGCTCCCTCTATTCCTACAGCGCCCGTCGGTGTGCGCCCGGCCTTGCATTTACTTGAGCCCTACCGATGTTTTTATCATTTTTTATTTTTAGTATTCATTATTATTTTTCAACTGTTTTATGTCTGGTTCTTCCAAACTAGATTATGAAGTTTTCGATGGCTGGGGATTTCTCTTATGTTTTTACCTCCTCTCATTTAATAAGCATTTTGAATACAAGTCTGGCACTGATGCCCAATGGGTCCTTGAGATGGAGCCAGTGATATGTCTAGGGACACTAAGGTTTCAAATAATAACCTTTTAAGAGCCAAGATACAGATGATAATCTGGACTGAGGTGAGGGTGCAGTCATGGGAAAGAAGGGTGATGACTGCCGACCTGGTCTGCTCCGGACCCAGCGGGGCTAAACTCAAGCCCATGCCGGACTCCAGCTATGGAAGGGCAATCGACTTTCTCTGCTCTAATTTGACTTCAGCTTGTTATTATACTTTAAACCATACATTTCCGGTCCTCTTTGCATGTGGGGGATGATGCCACAGGTTCCCTGATAGCTTCACCAGTGGAAATCCTTTGCCCTGGGGGCACTGGAAAGCTTACGTCTGTCCAACTGGGGTGATTGGGGACACTTGCAGAGAAAGCTCGATATGACATCAACACAAGACAAAGCTATTCTCTGAAACCCAGCACCAGAATAACCCCACAGGGTCACGTCCTGCCACGTGGGCCCTGGGAAAACTGAGCTGGATCATTCTCTGATGCCAGCACCACAAGGGTGCTGCTCTGCTGGCCTGCAGAACCTTCGCGCACCTGGACTTTCTTGCTGTCCTGCTGTTCTCTCTTCTCCAGTTGGACCTGCAGCTTCTTCCTCTCCTGCTCAAGTTCCCGCACTCTCTTCTGCAGCTTCAAGAAGACTGTCATGTCCATGGCTGCCTTCTCGAGGCCAATTTCCTTCAAAGGAAGACAAGGAGCAAGAAAGAGGAAGTTTAAATAGCTTAAATGCCTTAGGGAACATTCAGCACCTCACTGCCTGCTGCTATATCAGCTGTCTTTATTCTCTTCCCTAACATCAATCCACATCTCAGATACAAAGCCAATGCCAACCAACCATCATTTCTCATATTAAAGTTGGTGCTCCAGGCTCAATTTCTGTCTAGATAACATCTGAGTCTCAACCATTTGTATTCTTCCTGTATGAGCCACTTAAGATGACTGAGCATATAGTCCAAGAACAAATAGATAAAGACATAGCCATTTTATTTGGAAGTCAAAAGAGCTCACTTCTGGAAGATGGTGTCACACTAGAGACACTGTAAAACTCAGGACATAATGCTTCCTAATGCAGAAGCAATGTGGTTACAAATCACTGTGCATGTGCTTCAACCACTTGATTGCACCTTGAAACAGAACCAGTGCTTGCCCTACCACGGAACCCATTTACCCAACAGATCGTACAGCATCAGTATCCCAGAAATTTTTTTTCTTTAGATTCATGCCTGGGTTCGCCCTCCAGAGTTCTGTCATGCCTGGGCGTGTATCTGTATGAGCATATCCACGTAGATTTTTTAAGCACATGTATGGACATACGTGACAAAACAATTTGGTTCAACCAGCATTAAACGAGTGCTTTGTGCTTAGCCAGCACTGTGCTAGCTTCTCTGGCCAGTGTCAAGAACTAGTCTCAGCTTTGTTGAAGAACATAAATGCACCAATGGAAATGCTTATGTCTGCATGTAAATGACCACATACACAAAGACCTGGGTGGTGCATTTGGTGTTCAGGCTGACTGTGGCCTCCAGACTTCAGAAGTTGCAGTGATAAAACCAAGGGTCTTAAGCTAGCATTTATGAAATGCTTCCTAAGTGCGTACAGCAAGCAACAAACCATGTTGGACTATACAAAAATAAACCTTTTATCCGGAGGCCCTCCTTTTCTATCCTTCCATCCTTCACTCTGTCACTCACTATCTCTTATCATCCTTTAGCACTGAACAGTCCCTGCAATTATATTACAGACTTCTTCCATCAACTGATTATTGTCTAAGTATCGCACAAGCTCCAGAGGGCAGGGACCTTCTCTGGCTTGTCACTGCTGTTTCTCCAGTAGCCCCTAGCTGTGTCTGGCACAAAGACATGCTCAAAACACACTTGTTTTTATAACCGTCTCTCCTCTACATCTATCTTCATGTACTTCATAAGGTTTTATATGCTTGTAATTTTCTTCTTTTCAAATGCCAGAGGAAAAACTGTGTATCTATGAACCTTTGACAAACTTACACGCAGATTATGAAGTCCACTGTGTGGTACATTACATAGTAACTCTAAGAGACTATTACTGACAAAGATATAATCACTCAGCAAATATTTGTTGTTGTCTGAGTTTATCGAGCTTCCAAGTCAGGGAGGAAAATGTTCTTCTGTATTTATTGATATTACTGTATGCACTGGGATACTAACTGGGGGTGATAAATTATATCTATTTTAATGACTTAGTGGTTCTCCTTCTTAAGCCAGCCATTTCGCTTCTCTGCAATCAGTTCTCAGCTTTACAAGAGGAATCAGGGGCCTGCCTTCTTCCTTCCTCTCTGGAGAGAGGGTAGGGTGAACAAGAATGTAGTGTTTTGCACAGTCACTGTTAACTCCAGAGTACTGTCTGTAAGTTCACTGCCATCTGAGTCCTGCTGTCAGGGATGAGCTTCGGGCACTCTGGTCACCACCAACGGAACAGTACATGTCTGTGGGGAGCTCCACACAGGTAACAAACACTCCTGGAGCACAGCCAGCCAAGAACCTGCCTTACTCACCTCCACCTGCTGGAGAGCATCCTCCGTGTCTCCGACTTCAGATGTGGAGATGGAGGGGTAATTGGAGTCAGATTCTAAGCTACTTTGGTTTGATGGGTTCCGCCTGTGGCCTGGGGTTTGCTGTTTAAGGAGAAAAATGTGAAAAGCTCGTAATGAACTAATGTTAATAAGAAGTATTACTTTTCAAAGACTAGTAGGCCCTGGAGTTGGACTTCTGCCTCATTGTAAGGACTGGGTTCCCTTGTCTTTTAATGAAATACAAATCCCTAATGCTGAGGCCAGTCTCTCTGAAAAGTCCCAGGGAAATAATCCTCATCCCCCAGTCTCGCCCCGACAGTCCTGCCATCAGCCTCCTCTCGAGAAGAATGCTGCAAATCTGGCCCTCACGGCCCCCACTTCAACCTGTACTCCACCAGTTTGTTTATGAAAACAGTCAGCATATTAGAAGTAGGGGTTACCATTTATACTGTTCATTTAAAAATGCCTTTTTTACCCCTTGCATCTGATTTGGCTTTAAGAGAGAAAACTGGTCTTGGCAGGAAAATTTTAGATTTCTCTCTCTGTTCCAATTCACCTTCTCTTCCTGGCTTCTAGGCAATGAACTTACTCAATCTTGTATGAATATACTTTTCTGGAGGGAATGTTTATATGGGGTACAAAGAATGACAAATCCTGAAATATGACAATGTTTCTGTCAACGACTGGGAGAGATGATCAGACCCCGTGAGCCTCTCTGCAGCACACACTAACGAAGCTGAATTCAGAACTCCCCACGCCGTCACTGCCACGACACAGGGACGCTCCCAGAACAGGAAACGAGACAGAGAACATATCCACTTGGGTGGAATTTTCTTTAAGTTTTTAACTTAGATTTTTCTGAGACCCTAACGTTGGAAAAGAAGCTGTCCCCGGGCATGGCTGCTGCCAGGTTGCTCCCTTATGTGGTGACTCCCCACAGGAAAGGCAGAGACAGACACTGGGATGCCACGCCCTTCGCACGGCACAGAATGACTGAGCATCTTGGCAGTGGCGTCAGTGGCACAGGGGCTGGAGCTGTGCAAGCACCAGGCTTGTGAAGCCAGAGGTGGGGCCGGCGCTGTGGTCGGGACTGCCCTCCTTGCCTTTACGATGGTCATCTCGTCCCGAAGGTTGTCGTATCTCTGCTCCAGCCGTGAATACTCCTTCACGAGGTTCTGGTACCGGGAACGCTCCTCCTCCAGCTCTTTCTTCATCAGGAGATTTTCCTTGACAGAGCTCTGGGCAAATTCATCTGGAAAGCAAGCACGCCGAGCTGCACTTTCTCTTTCCGAATGGATTCCCCTCACATGCACTTGACCCACGTTCACTGATTAACCTCTTGTTAAGAGGCTGCCCACGGCTGCTCTGACACAGACACTTGAGTTGATCCAGCTCCCTCACCTACTGCAGAGCAAAGGAAAGCTCGTTACGGTGCTTTAGGTCTTCAGAGGTGGGGAAAAAGATGACCCTGGCCTGGGAAGTGGGGGAGAGAAGCCGGCAGCTCACACGGTTAGCCCTCCAGCCTCTCTCTTTCAACAAGTGTCACAGCGACTGCGGGCAGCGTTCGCGAGAGAGCCTAGGTTTTGTTCCAGTTTCTTCCCTACTCCTGATGTTTCCAGTTCTTGGAGTGCAGGGAGATTAAAGCGGATTTGAGGAGATAAGGCCAAAGGCTGGGGGGTGGCGGGGGAGGAGGCAAAAAGATAACACGGATGGGCTTTCTCCCCTATCCAAACTTATTCGTATTCGTGGAAAGAAACAATTTTAAAAAGGAAATTAAAAACACTTTCAGCTGTTGACAAGAATTCATGCTGGATGGAACTACGCACTCAGGCGGTTCAAGTCTCTCGAGGTCGGGGCAGGGGGCCTAAGGATGAGCAAGGGGAGCAATATGCTGAAGGCCACACCAAGTCAGGTAGGGACTGGGGTCTGGGGATTCCCAATGCCCCTCTTGTCAAGCAGCACCGGGGGGTTGATGTAGTTCAGGGGTCAGTGGGTGCTTGGCACAGGGGACCTGGATGTGACCCATGACCCTCTCTCTAGCAAATTAACAAATGACCCACTGGGTAGAAGAAACCATGACAGGAACCGTGGTTGCTAAAGATGAACTTAAGAACAGCAGTAAGTGCAGCTCCTAAGTGTTGTGTGTCAAGCATCATCTTAAGTGACTCACACGCGTTATCTGTTCCTCACATGGGCCTTGGTGTCCGTGTTGCAGATGAAGAAACAAAGGGCTACAGACATTAAGTGACTCACTCAAGGTCACGCAGCAGCACATGGTAGAGCTGTGCTCCGGGCGCAGATCTCCCCGACTCCAAACTCAAGGCGTCATATCGTCCGTTATCCATGTCTCACCACATGAAACCAAACGTCACAGCAGGATTGCACAGATCACCCTTCTTCTGCATCTCTCTTCTACTAAAGCCCTTTCCCCACTGCTAACTGCACGCTTGCTAGGAGTCTTTGGGGAAAATCACCGTGGGAAATAAATGAGAGCTCAGAATGAAAAATCAAGCACTTTGGTACTTACCTTTCGACTGGCACAGAATTTGGTGGTTAAGCTGTTCTTTCTCATCTTTCAGGAGAGCGTTTTCTTGCTCCAGGTCTGCAACTCGCTGAAGAGAGAACAACAGAAAAAAATGTTTCCCCTGTGAAGCTGAGCAAAGGAAAGGATCCTCTCGTGGGTTTGAATTTCAGCTGGTGATGTTAAAATGATTTTTAAGAAAATTGAATCAGCTAACGTGGCTTTCATTTCAAGGGAAAAATTGTACACTGAAAAACAAATTCCATTAAAACAAGACAGACTCATTTCTGTTGATGGTCTTCCAATGCCCACTAAAACCTCTTGAAAAGTCTGCACCAAGCTCCCATGCCTTGTTCAAGGACTTACTGCAGTAACAGGCTTCCTCGCATTTGGTTGCCTGTCTAGGTAAATCATAAGCTCTCAAATCTGAGTCTCAGGAAAGCCAGAAGCTCACGATGAAGAATAATTCTCTCTGGTCTTCACCCCACTTGCCCTTGCCTGTCTTACCGGACCAGCACAGTCCAGATGCTAGGGAAGGAAAGGAGACTTGCTGCTGACATTCGACTGTCCAATCCAGTGTCTGGCTTCTGATACTAATGCCAGGGGAAACAGGAGGTGAATATTACTGGAAAGAAAATGGCACACTCATTTTTGCAGGAGGCTATCTAGAGATTTTCCCCACTGACGTCACATCCCTGCCTTCATGAAACAGGTGAGGAAATAATCGTGGAAATCGTGTGCCCAGGGCCCCTCAATTCAGGCATCCAGACTTGAGCCCCACTTTCCTAGAGGCTGCTTGAACCATCGCAAGTCACCACAGAAAGAACTCTTGTGATCATAAGTGTGGGCAAAGGCGAAGTCAATGAATGACCTTTACAGTCACAGATCCTGGCTCTGTAAAATCAACACCCAGCTCCTAGGGCTGGTTCAATATTAAAGGAGATGACGTGTGTAGAGCACCAAGCAGCAGGCACTACACAGAGCAGTGGATGAATATGTGTAGATGGTTCTACATTACCTTCATTAGGCACGAAAGGTAAACATACCCTTTAAAGCCATTCCACCACTCAGCAAAAACTTAAAAGTTAATTTCTATTTTTCAAAAGTTCTTCCCCCCGCCCCCCCAAAAAAAGAGGAAGGAACATTTCCCAATTCCTTCCATGAGGCCAGTAATGTCCTGATACCAAAACCAGAAAAAGACATCACTACAGACCATTCTCCCTTACGAATATAGATGAAAAAAGTCCTTAACAAAATACTACCAAATATTCATGATAAACACACTCTACAAACATCCTCGACCTGATAAAGGCATTTATAAAAACCCACAGCTAACAGCATACTTTCTGGTGAAAGACAGAATGCCTTTCCCCCAAGATCAGGAATGAAGACAACAATGTGTGCTCTCACCAACATTATTCAACACCATTCTGGGGGTTCCACCCAGGACAATTAGAGAAGAAATAAAAGACATCTAGATTGGAAAAGAAGAATTAAAACTATCTCTACCTACAGCTGATGTGATCTTGTATATAGAAAATCCTAGGAAATCCACTTAAAGATTATCAGAACTAATAAATGAGTACAAGTTGTAGGGTACAAGATCAATAGACACAACTCAATTGTATCTCTACACACGGAAATGGATAATCCGAAAAAAGAAATTAAGAAAACAATTCTTTACAACAGCATCGAAAAGAAAATTCTTAGGAATAAATTTAACAAAAGAAGTATGAAACTTACACTTCTGAAAACTACAAAATATTATTGAAAGAAATTAAAGAAGATCTAAATAAATGGAAAGATATCTTGAGTTAATGGATCAGAAGACTAAGTATTGTTAAGATGTAATACCCCTCAAATCAATGCAACCCTACAGATTCAATGCAAACCTTATCAAGATCCCAACTGGTTTTGCTGCAGAAAACGACACGCTGATCCTAAAATTCATGTGAAATATCTAGGGATCCAAAACAATCTTGGAAAAAAAAACAAAACAAACTGGAGGACTCGCACTTCTCAATTTTAAAACTTACTGCAAAACTACAGTAATTGGGACACTATGATACCAACATAAAAACAGATATACGGACGGATCACTGGCAAGAACTGGAATCCAGAAATAAATGCTCGCCACTACAATTCAATGAAGAAAGAATCATCTGTTCAACAAATGGGGCTGAGACAACTGGATTTCCACATAAAAAACACAAATTGGACTCCTATGTCATACCATATACAAAAGTGAACTTAAAACGTATCGAAGACCTAAATGTAAGAGTTAAAACTATTAAACCCTCAGAAGAAAACAGAAGCAAATCTTTGTAACCCTGGATTAGGCAATGGTTTCTTAGATACAACACCAAAACACAAGCAACCAAAAAAAAAAAAAAGAGTTAAATTGGACTTCATCAAAATTTAAAACTTTTGTGCTCCAAGGGATATTATCAAGAAAATAAAAAGCAACCCACAGAATGGGAGTAAATATTTTCAAATCATACATCTGACACAAGATTTGTACCCTGAATATATAAAGAACACTTGCAACTCAATGATAAAAAGCCAAATAACCCTATCAAAACATGGGAAAGGATTTGAAGAGCCATTTCTCTAAATGGCTAATACGTACATGGCAAGATGCTTAACATCATTAGTCATCAAAAGCACAATGATACCGCCTCACACACAATAGGATGGTTATTAAAAAAGATCATAATAAATGTCGGTGGGGACTGTGCTGGTCCAGCTGCTGTGCCAGGTTGCCGTCCCACCATACACTGCTCTGGAAAGCAGATTGGCGGTTCCTCAAAAAGGAAAACACAGAGTTACCACATGCCCCAGCAATGCCATTCCTATGTAGATATCCAAGAAAAATGAAAACCTAGGTTTGCACAGGATCTTGTGATAGATGTTTGTATCAGCATTGTTCAAAGTACCTAAAAGTGGAAACAACCCAAATGCCCATCAACTAATGAACTGATAAATAAAATATGACAGATCTGCATAATGAAATACCACTTAGCAATGAAAAGGAATGAAGTACTGATACATGCTACAACATGGATGAATCTTGCTAAGTGAAAGAGGCCAGCCACAGAAAGCATGTATGATATGATTCCAATTTTATGAAATACCCAGAATAGGCAGATTTATAGAGACAAAAAATAGTGTTTGCCTAGGGCAGGGCTGTGACTGCTAAAGGGTACAGAGTTCTTTTGAGGGGGTTGATGAAAATATTCTAAAATTTGACAGTGGTGATGGTTGGAAAACTGAGTGTTTCTTAAAAACCCTTCAACTGTACACTTTAAATGCGTGATCTGTATGGAATGTGAATTATAATCAGTAAAGCTGTTAAAAAAATCCTTCCACGAGAAAACCAATCTAGTAAGCACAGGACTCTGTGCTAAGTGTGGCAAAAGATAAAAAGATTAGTAAGACAGGCTCATAGTTAGTTTCTGGTCGGAGTGACAAGTTTCCCCACAGACTGTGCTGAATGACAAACTCTCTGGCTCATGTCATCAGTTCCAGCCATCCGTGGTACATTTTATGATCTATTTGGGGGAGGAAGAAGGACTCTCCCCAACCTGTACAAAAAGAGCCTCAAAGATGACATCCTCTGTATAATAACATGATACATACTAGTATGTGCATGGTGGTTGAGACTAGACAGTGACCTATTGGGATTCCCACCTAGGTGATTACTGCATGGAACTGAGGAGGAGAGATGATCACACTGATCCTTGGGGACCCACCTGTGGTCTCATCAAACACCTTTCAAACTCTGCTAGACGTTTTTGGCAGCAAAAGCCAGAAAGGAGGCTCCAGGGATGCTGGCTAAAGGGCAGCAGCTTTCTTGAGGTTTGAATTTCAACTGGTTATGTTTAAATGCCATCTTCTTCCCTTCCTCCTGGCTTTCGAGTTAACTCATTTTTACAGAGATTTTTGTCTCTTTAAATATGAGATAAGGAAACAGTCCCCTAACCCTCAACATCACGCAGAAACAGTCAGGAGAAAATTTAACAGGCGCAAGCAAGGTCACTGGTTCTCCCCTTACAACTCAGAAGGCAGAGAGTCCTACCTACAGAGCCTCAGCTCCTCTGGGAAGCTGCTGACGGTCTGCAGGTGGCCTGCAGGTGGCCTGCTCTCTACAGCTCCACAGAGAGAGCTGTCAGAGGCTTGCGAAAAGCTCCAAGCACTTTGTCAATACTATCCGACCCTTTCAAATTTCAAGTTTTCAATTTCGAAAATATGGCTCAAAACTATCTTCCAGGAAACTGTCCCTTCTCTGCCATAGGACACCACAGCTCCTTTCCACCCTTTCAATTCAGACAGACGTGGTTTCTCCCTGAAGGTTATCCACGGATGTACTGCCAAGAGTTACAGAAATGAGGTTCTGACAAGCGAGTACAATTCTGACACCACACTAGTCCGGAACCACTGACCTCACGTCTTTGTATGCAAAGGCCACTCTCCCACCGAGGAGAGTAGAAGCCCCTTTGTGGTCAGGGCGCCATGGGGAGTCAGTCAAGGGGGCATGTTCTGTCTCCCCACAGAATATCAAATGAGAAAAGGTGGGTCAAAAGCGATATGCATGTAACTAGTTATGCCAAATTGTTATTCTTCGTCGGCAATTTATTGTCTCTTATAATTAGTGCAACTGATGTTTTGTGTCTAGAGAGACTAAAACCTGATTTGATGGTGAGGGTGTGGGAAAGAAGAAAAAGCACTGGCTGAGAATGATGCCTTTTTAGCACGGGAGGCTGCTGCTCACAGAGCCTACTTCTGGCACCTGAGATGACACAGGGCAAGGCTGTCGTTCACCCATCAGATACCTTCTGACATGGCTTCTCTGTGCCAGGAGCCTTGGCAGGGGCCGGGGGATGTAAAATGAATACAACTCATGGTAGCTACCATCAGAGAGTGTCCAGCCTAAACCAGGCGCATAACAATGAGACAACCTATAAGGGTTGTAGCAGATTTCTATAAAGCAGGGTTTCTCAACTATTGACGTTTTGGGCTGTCCTGGTCATTGGAAGATGTCAGCAGCATCCCTAATCTCTACCCACTAGATGCCAATAACCCGGTCCCAGA